TGTCCAAGGTGTCGGACGAGGAGCTGCTCCAGTGGAGCAAGGAGGAGCTGATCCGCAGCCTCCGCCGCGCCGAGGCCGAGAAGATGAGCGCGATGCTGGACCACAGCAACCTCATCCGCGAGGTGAACCGCCGCCTCCAGCTCCACCTCGGCGAGATCCGCGGCTTGAAGGTAGCGGGGAGGGCAGGGTGGGAACCCCCGAAGTTTCTGCCCTGGCTCCGCGTCCCCCCCATCGTCCCGTCCCATCCCGCCGGGAGCGAGCTCGTCAGGTGGATGGGCTGGGAGGAGCCGTTACCGAGAATCGCGTGAAAAGTGCACAACAGCGTTTGTTCGCGCTGAGAAATCGAGTGTCCGGTTAAGAGATGGCCAGGAGATGGGCAGGGTGTGGAGCGCAGCCGTTGTGCGCTCTGCCCAGTGTGCTTTGGGTGCATGACAGCACCGACCTCTTGTCACTTGGTTTTCGGTAAGGTTAGATGATCCAGCCGCAAAGAACAGCGTGCAGAAGGAGACGTTCAGAAGGTTTTTGTGTAGCTTCTGCTGTTTTCTGTCACTATTCTGAGATGACTTCCTCGTCTGTCAGGCAATCTGGTGGGCGGCTGGGGAGAGCTGGTCGTTTCCAGGATGCAGTGCGTATGGCAGGTGATTGCAAACCCTTGTGCTCAGTTTTGGGATGATCAGAACCAATCCCTAGTTTATTGTCTGAAAAAGAGGTCTGATAATGCATCTCTGATCATACTATTTTTGACTGTATACTTCTGCAGACCACAGTGAAAGGCAGCCCCAGTCTGTAATGACTTAGCCCTTCTTCATTTAACTCTTTTGTTGGATGAGAAGCGTAGTCCCTAGTGATCGGCAAGATAGTGACTACTTACAGATAACTACCCTGCTGTAGCATGTACACGTCTATTATAGACCTGGGAAATTAAAGTAGGCATGACTACAGAACATTCTCTGCCTTGTTGCTTTGAGAGAGGACACTGCTTTTAGGAAATTCCTGCCGTGAGGTGAGGTTGGAGGGAAGGAGAGACAGAGATGCAGTGTGGACCTTTGCATTGTTACATCAGACTACAGTAGAAGAGTTCTTGACTTGTAGAATGGCTTTAAACAACTAGATTGTTGAGAACATGTGGCATAAAATAAATAGCATGTGGGGAAGACTGTTCCTGCCTCCCAAGTTTTCCTGTTCTATCAAGTGTGAGAGTGTGTGTGTGTCCCCTCCCTCTTTGACAGTACGTAGTGTCTGGGGGTAAAAAAGACCCATCAGTGATAGTACTTCAGTAAAGATAAAGCTTACATTGTAAATATAGGTTAAACTACAACAATTGTATCTTTCTCCCAGTTACGTGCAGAGGTGTAGTGACATCATACGGATTTATGCACGTTCTAGATAAGTAACAAGCCACCCCAAGGTGGTAGGAGGGAGTGACAAATTCCTCTCAATTCTGAACTCCTTAAATGATGTTTAGCTTCCGCCTTTTGTTCAGATTCCTCAGCTGGAATTTTTTTGAATAGAATTTGGGAGAACGAGGTTTCCAGCCCTATTTAGTGTCTGAACATCCACCTTCTTTGTCCTGTGTGAAATAACTGGCCCATGAGTAACAATGACCAGCTGTGCCTGGGTTTGGTGCCTCGTGCTGCTGACTGAGGAACTGTGGGCTTCCACAACTTTTTTCTTCCACCATGGGGCCATGTTTAGTATCTCTTGCCAGCACAGATTTTTAAAGGTACCTTGTAGCCTCACTGAGATTTTTCCGTTGTCAGATACCAATTGAAATTGGCCAAGTTCAAAGTTGTTTTGGGAGAAAGATCAAACACAGGCATGCATGCTCACAAATACAATTGAGTTACAAAAGCTTCCTTTCCTTAAGAAGCAGTGCTAAAATGGTCTGCCCATAAGGCCAATTTTTTAACAATTGTGGCTAATCTCTACTTCGAATATCGTAAATAAAAAGGAGTGAATATTTAGATGGGAGAAAGATAAATACAAGCCAGTTTGGTAAAACTAGGAAGATAAAACACTGAGCATGTTTTCTTTGGCGTGTTATTCTGCTATAGTAATAGCTTGAACGTTTTTGCTTCAGACTGTTCCTCACTTACAGGAGGGTATGGAATCATGTACTTTGTTTTGTTAGGAGTGAAAAATCTATTAAAACAAATTACTTCACCAGAAATGCTTCAATCATTCTGAAATGATGGATGACAAGCTTCTTTTAGGCAAATCTGGGAAAATCAAACAAACCCCAAATATTTTAGATTTCTAAAAAGTTCATCTTTATGTGAACATTCTTAAGGGAATAGAGAGTATAAATGTTAAAAATCAATCATTTAAGTGAAATTTCTGATGTACTTTGTGGTTTCATTCGGCAGTGACTCCCAGGTGAATTTTTCTCAAGGGAGTGAGATCATCACGGGAGAGCTTATGATCTTTGCCCTGTTGGGGAGCTAAAATATTCTGATAGTTGTTCTGTCATGATCATCTTTCTTTTCTAGGATATCAACCAGAAGCTGCAAGAAGATAACCAAGAGCTGCGAGACCTCTGCTGCTTTTTGGATGATGACAGACAGAAGGGCAAGAAGGTGTCCCGTGAGTGGCAGAGGCTGGGCAGATACAGCGCTAGTGTTATGCACAAAGAGGTTGCCTTGTATTTACAGAAGCTGAAAGAACTGGAAGTGAGGCAGGAAGAAGTGGTTAAGGAAAACCTGGAGCTGAAAGAATTGTGCGTGTTGCTGGATGAGGAGAAAAGTGGTGGAGCAGGCAGCCGGAGCTCTATCGACAGCCAAATCAGCCTGTGCCAGTTAACTGCGACGAGCACTTACATCAGAGATGTCGGGGATGGGAGTAGTACTTCTAGCACGGGAAGTACAGACAGTCCAGACCATCACAAACATCATCCAAGTACCAGTCCAGAACATCTTCATAAAACTCGGGGCGAAGGAAGCCCTGAGCATCAGAAACACAGAAGCATCAGCCCAGAGCACCTCCAGAAGCCTCGGAGTTCTGGCAGTCCTGATCATCACCTGAAAGGACCAAGTCCAGAACATCACAAAACCATTGTCAAAGCACCCGAACAACAAAAGCACAGCAGCGGCAGCCCAGAAACTCTTCCAAAGCACGTTTTGAGTAGTAGCCCTGAACACTTTCAAAAGCAGAGGCCTGGTAGTAGCCCTGAGCATCAAAAGCACAGCAGTGGCAGCCCAGATCATCTTCAAAAGCACACGTTGAGTGGAAGTACAGAACATCTCCACAAAGTGAGGGGTACGAGCCCTGAGCATCTCAAACAGCACTATGGAGGGAGCCCAGAGCATCTCAAACACCTCAGCGGAGGCAGCAGAGAAGGTACCCTCAGGAGACAAGTAACAGATGACCTGTCACCTCACCACAGAAGTATATACAATGGAATGAATGGTGGGTCCATACATTTACTGAAATCTGTCACTTTGAAAATTAAAAGGTAGTTTCAGTGCTATTTCTGGAAAAGGAAGAATGGCTTATGTGAAACGAAGGGTAACGAGCCTGGTGTTAGCATTATTCTTTTAGCAAGTGAATTAATGGGAGTTCTACTGGTTTGTCCATCCAGCAGGTGTTAGGTGGATTAGAAAAGCAGAGGAAAAGTGAATCTTGAGTGTTGGTGTAAGGTATCAAGAAGCAGCTCTTGACCTTGGTCCTGCTCGGTGGTTGGTAGATGTGAACTGTTTGTCCCTGGGTAGATCTCTGTTTATGTCAGAGACGAAATGCCTGCGTTTCTTGTCCTGCCTGTATTTGAGTCAGCAGAATGGAGGTGAAATCTCCAATTTAATTTCCACCTTCCTAACCTGCCCTGTCTGTAGCTTTAAAGATTTTAAAATTTTCTCTTTATCGATGGAAGGCTTCTTATGTCATTTTCCATAAACTCCGGCAAAGACCCCAGATGGAGAGCTAAGCTCAATATAAATGACTCTGATAGCTCCTAAAGCTTTTCAGAGCCTTGAGTTTGCATGCGTTTAATTATAACAAAAATTAAGGTCTTAAAGTTGGGGCATTTCTGTGTTAGTGCTGCATTTTAGAAATATACCCAGTAAACATACTTAGCTTTTAAGAGCTGTGTATCCTCACTGACTGAAATGAATTTTTTTTTTTTCTTTAAGATAGTTATAGTTTAAGTATTTTGTCATTTTGAAAGACATGCGACTGTACTGTAGTTTTTACAGAGTTAGCAGGATTTCTATAGTCTTCTCCCTTTTGTTTCTTCTATGTGCTTTGAGATGTTCCATGAAGGAAATCAGCATGACAGTTGAAAACCCATTTCTCAAACCTTTACACTTAGGTTTGAAGTCAAGCTCGGAAGAAAGTGAGGGTTTTGCCTTAGTAAATCGTCTCGGATGGAGTTCATGTGTTTCCATCTTGAAAGCTGCTGTGAGAAGTTGTGTGTTGACATCGGTGGAACTGGCCACTTGTTGGATCTGCTTGTGAGATGGAGGAGACGGAGCTCTGTGCTGGGTGCTGTCCTCATCAGTTATCACATGGCGCTCTCACATCGGTCCATTTACCGATTGTCATGATTAACTCACAGAACACTTTCAGTTAAGATAACCTGCTCTGTAGGGGTAAATCCAGATTACATTGTGAAATGTGTAGGCTTGACAGGGCTGATGAACCCCAAAGGGGTAAGTGTAGAGACGTTTGTTTTTAATGACTTTAAAATGATTAATGGGTTTACGACAACTGGGAAGACGTGTAATACACATCTGAGTTACAACAGCTGGTTTTGCAAAGCTTCCATTAAATACTGTATTTCTTTTCCCATTCAGTTCTTTCTGTTTAAAACTGACCTGGCTGTAAATAGCATGAAGTATGGAACCAGATTTCCTAAAAGGTGACTGCATACTCACGCTCATCATGCTCATCAGTCCAGTCACTGGTTATGTAGAAAGGTGACATAAGGTTTTAAATATGTATTTTTCAAACTCCTTCACAGACAAAGATACAATTTTTTTCTGCTTCCAACCTGGGGGGCTTTCTGACTTGTTTTTTGTCCAAATGGTCTCGTTGAGAACTCAGCCATGTTATTAGCAGTGCAATGAAAGCAGTTGTTACTTTAAACTCGAATTGACTGGCATCCTTTGTGCAGAGTATTTGAACTATCTAGAATTTGGACTCGAGCCAAAGGATGCTGGGGAGGGCAGCTGGTGATTTGGGAGTCTGTTTATTGACTTTAATCAGAGCTTTGCCTTGTCCTACACTTTATATAATCATTTTTGCAGAGGACTTCTCTCACCAGGAAGTTGTCAAACCTCTCTTCTTTCATATTTATATAATTTGATGCAAGCACAGGTTTAATTCTGATATTCGTCTGACCTTGGCCAGTGGTAAAACAGCTTTGTTCTGATGGAGATGCCTTAAATTTCAGGAAAATACTCGGCCTTCTCAGCAAAGCTGAATGGCTTTGTGTTCTTTGTGTCTGAATTTTGTAAAGTTACGGAGAAAAACAGTTAATATTGAAATGGTAAAAGTGCTGCTCATTATCGCTTGTTACAGTTGTGGAAGCAACATGTGACTCTTAATTTGCATGTTCTGTGTATACATGTACACACAGACCTGCCAGTCGAGTGTAGGTGGGGACAGTGCATTGAGCTGTAGTGAAAATCCTCATCTTTTGCATCGGTTGTAAGGAATGGGAAAACTGTGAAAACGTGAAAGTGGCCTGGAAACCTGGCCCTAAACTCTGAGCAATACAAAAGGATGCTATTTGTGTTTCTTATCCCAAAATCATGTAGTAAGTACACTGCGTCATATTGGTGGAACCTAGCTGGTTTTAAAATGTGGAGTATGTCTGGCCGGTAGATGTTCGATTGCACATCTGTGGGATTGTTTCACAGGGCATTTCTGACCTTACTGCAGTACGCGTGGAGTGTCACTTGAGCAGCAAGAGCAAAGTGTGATCCTACACGATGTGCAGCAGAGACTAACGTCTTCTGACTTGCATAATCAGAACTTACCAGGCTCGGTACACGCCTGTCCCATCCTCCTTGGTCTTGACTCTGAGCCTGGTCTGGGAGGAGAAGGTATTCCTTTGCGTGTCAAACCTCATTCTAAAAGGTACTATGCCCTCTGCCTGAAGTTGCTGTTCCTAATTGGAAAGTGTGTTTGTGAACAGCCTCGCTATTCCTGTTGCAATGAGAGCTTCCCTACGCTGCTGATAGCTCCTGTTTACCTGGAGAGCTGGTCTGGTCAGCACTTGTGTGACACAGGGAAGCAATTTACTCAGTAGTGTGCAGTTATCTCTACCAGAACTCAGGCTGCACGTGAGGACGCAGGGAATGGAGTTAGAGCATTTGCAGGTTTCTGGCAAAGTCTTAAGCTGAAGTTAAAGCAGTTGCAATAGGACATTATAGTGGTATCAGAAATGTGACGTGTAGCTGTAGCCTGCTTTACAGGGTATGGTGTATGCATTAATCATTTGGGCTTCATGCATATTTTAAGCTGTCATGAGGCATGCGGGAAGACGCTTCAGTCTGAAGCTGCCTTTGGTCCATAGGCACAGCCGAAGGAATAAAGGATGAGGTGATAACACTTCCTTTCATAATTCTCCTCATTTTCTATGCTCAAAGGTTTGATCTTGGTATTTTTTTCTTGTATGACATGTCAGCTTTCATTTATAAGATTTATAAAGCTTTAAAGGGAAAAAAAACCCCCTACTTCAGGGTTCTCCTACATATTTTTCTGAAATAGGTGTCCTCAGCCTTTGGAGTGACAGAGAATGGGATGCAAGAGCTAAATTTGGCTTGATGTTTGCTAACCGAAAGTGTATGTATTTCAAATTAAAGGCTCTAACCAAATAAAACATGGTAACACTCTTTTGCTGTGATCACACCTAAGCTTGGGTAATGAGCACAGAGGTGTTTGGGATAGAAAGATTGCTGAAATTGGAAAATGCCAGCGGTAAAACCATTTTAAAGCAAACCTAGAATAATGCATGCCAGTTTGACTGTGGCACAAGTATGTGGGGTCTAAGCACCTCTATATAAATTGATGTGCTTTTGGCATTTGCAAGCTAAGTTGTGGTTTTCATTCTGAGCAACTTATTGTAAGCTTTCTATTTTAAGAAGTCCTTTGTTTTACTCTGGGCTTTGACTTTCGTGTGAAAGGAAAGTATCGGAAAGCTTTCATATGTGCTTTTCGCT